TAATGTATGCAAATGTATGATTTTGATTTTTACGAATTATGAAATAAAAATAGTTAGGCTACAGTATTGGTATTACTATTGTTGTTCCCTCGCAATTGTCTTCGAAGGCGTTTGCTGCAATGTAGGTACAGGCGTGGTGTGCGGGTTGCGTTATGCGCCGTCTCAAATACGAATAAGCCGGGGAGCACAGATTATACATTTTCTATTGAGCTTTTAATTCTATTCTTTGTTCCCTGGCATCACCCAAAGAACATAAAAATCGAATGTACAAATTAGGTATAATTTTTTACATGCAAAGTCAAATGGGTTACAATCAATATAAAATAGTTTTCCAATTAGTGTAGCATCACACGATGAGGTAGAGGTTAAAATACATTGTTATTTAGATTATACGGTTCTTTTCCATAGTTTGTTTTACCAAAATGCGGCCTTATTTTATGAGTACATTAACATCAATTACCGTACATCAAATTATTTTTTTCATAAGAAGGCGTGTATTTATAAGTGACGCTTTTAGTCTTAATTAAAATATAAATATTCACTCGATTAAAATATAATGCTCACTTTGTTTGTTCTATTTATTGATGTTTAATATCGGTTATGTCACGATATACAGATTTATATTATTATAATTAGAAAGTGGGAACAACGCTCTATTTAAACAAGCCAAAATGATTCAATTCAATGTTTTTGTATATATGAATAATTTATTAACATATTCTACAATTTGCATACGGAACGTTTCTTCTATTCACTATTTTGGTTGACCTTGAGTAATGTTTTAGCCCGTGATTTTTTTCTTAAGCTTAGTCTAACCATTGGGCCAACGGAAGGAAGATAGTAATATCAATGATAAACCCAACGAAAAAATATTGACAACTAACTAAACTATTTTTTATTATACATAACACTACTATTTCCGCCAACAAACCCAAAATAATTCGAGTCCCAACTTTTGCATCTAATTTTCAAAGTGTTGAAAGACTTTACAAACAGCATAACATATGGTTTCCCGTGTTAAGTGAACCTTTTCAAATCCCGCGAAACCCACAACTGTTTAGCCTAAGCAAACGAGGATTAGCGGAATCCCGGCCCAAAACGCAGCTTTGTATCTGGTTGTGACGGTCTGTGAGAGAGCAAAATAGAAGGGGGGGTAAAATAGTGGGGGGGGGGGGTAATCCCTACCTAACTAAAGATTCATAAACGGTTAATAGGGTTAGGGTAGCACATAGGCCCTGAGGGATATACTACGCTTAGCCGCTCGTTTAACGTTCAAGGCTGTATACGATACTTGTGGAAAATTGCTGGTTTAGCGAACATTCGAATGGGTATCTTGTAAATGTAGTTCACGCTACTGTTGATTGTTTACTGAGTGTTGGTTTTGCATTTTCGATACTTTTAACTGACCATCTATCAATTTAAACCAATTCAGTTAATAATATAGTAATATTATAATACGATGCACGTCTGTCTTGGGTTCTTCCAATAATGTACTAAACTACTATTTAATCATCAACCAACGGGTATTTGAACCGAAAAAATATGAATCCTTTTTTAGGAAATCCTAGATTGGTATATAGGTGTGCTCGTTGGTATATACAGGGTGGCTGGTCATCAGTGTTACAAAAATCTTTCGGTGTTTGTACAAAGTAAATGAAGTGTGATGATGTATATAAGAGGTTACAAGTCTAAAAATTGGCTTCCCAAAAAATTATTTTAATATTTTCTAAAAAAAAAACATGTTTTTAAACACTTTACAGCAATTTCTCAAATACCGCAAACGTATATGAGTAGATTATGTTATTTTCGTGATCTACATTACATTTTTATTTAAGAATCATTGGGATTGTTGGAGGATCAATAATAAAAAAAACTCCATTGTAAATATTTCCAAAGATTAAAATTATCGTATTTTGATAAAAAAAAAAAAAAAAAAAAAAAAAAAAAATTGGTCTATAGCAACATAGATAGTACGCATGTATTCAGCAAAACATGTATTCTTGTTTCAATTTTAGCAGTAGAAAGCGTCCTTGTGTTTTCTAGTATTCAAACCACTAAAACAAAATCAGATCTAAACCTCAATAGTGTAGCATATGGTTGGAAAGCTTATAAAATGGCGCAGTACAATGGAGTTCTTGTCATTGATCCTCCATCATTTTCAATAATTATTCTTATTCAAAATGTAATGTAGAACACGAAAATAACATCATCTACTCCAATCTGTTTGCAGGTAATTGAAAAATTGCTGTATTGTGTTTAAACACATGGTTATTTTTGAAAATAACACTGATGACCAGCCACCCTGTATTGGTAATACATTAAAACCTTTTGAGCAACCTAAAGCCGATGAAAGGACAGAAAATATTGTAACCACGTTTTTTTAAGGTAAACAATTGCCATACTCAAAATTATGTTTATTCTCCCTTCATTTAACTAAGATTTTAATAACTTCACTCTCTCTATCGCATTTAGCTGAATTTACGTAAAACCTCAAGAGTAACCGTCGAATTCGACAGGTTTCACCTAGTAAGAATTAATTTTGTTTAATTTATTAGTCCTGACCTGAGTTAAATTCTGATACAGATGTAACTGAAATTCACTCATGAATATAAATTTGCCATTTATATTTCATACAGTATTTTCCTTATGACCTTATTTTTAAATTTGATACTTTTTAATTGAACATTCTTCGAGAAAATTATTTAATTTTATTCGTTCATTGAGGCAATTTCTTGCTGCTTGGTTAATAAATATTTCCTTTGTCTATAAGTATTTGTTATATTACCTGTAATAGCTCATTTGACTATTACACCTTAATAACCAGATCAACTAAGGAGGCCGCCAATCTCTTATAAAGATTACACAAATAATCAAAATATTCCCAACAGCAAACTAGTCGATCCATCGTCGATGCAAATTCCAAAATGAAACGTTTCCTACACAGAGAGGACAGAGAGGTGTGGACGAGTAGACAGCCATGGGGTTGGAGGAGGGGGCTGAGATTCAATTTTTGTCCCTCGCAGATTGAACGTCCGACCCGGGTCACTCGGTCCCCGAGGCGTCACAAGTAGTTAGGTGGAGTTTATAGCAGCAGTCAATCAGAACCTTGCGTTATGGCTGTGTGAATCACGTGCTCTCAGTAGTAGATATTATTAATCTAAGTTTCTTGTTGTAAAGGTTACGGTTTATTGAAATAAAATTAATGCCGATAGCAAGGATTAATTTTTTGTTTATACTACGAATGCAATGAAAAATGCAATACAGTAGGTCATACAATGTTAAAAACTATGTATAAACGACGGTACGATTTCGAGATCCATTTTTATGCTATATAGGCGATAGCTTGATGATGACTGGTGTAGCCGGTTTAACCCGTTCTCCGATCTAAGATATTTTTGTGTATTTACCAATTAATGTTTTCAGTGTAAGTGTATATAAACAAGTATTTAAGCTAAATTTATCGATGGAGTAAAATGGTGCCAATAATAATAATGATAATGAAGAATTGGTTTATTACATGTATTGTAATCAACTAAATATTTGAGTGGAAAAAGTTGATGTAAATCCTGAAGATGGTATTTACGGAATATTTCATTATTGATTCAAAATCAGTGAAAAATTAACTAGAATTTGTGCAATCCTTTATGTTGATTTAAAATTGCAAAAACGGGATAACACGTTTGTCGAGTATTAACGCACTTAACCAAGCGACAAGTGGGAACCAAATCTGTTCAATACTGTAAGTTGGAACCTTTCCGACGGGTGTTGCAATTGAGCAACTCACCTTTATAAACAGCAATTCTCAACAAACCTAACTGTTCATTAGTGATAACGCGATTCACCACTTTCGGTTGAAATTCATTTTCGCATTTTACGTATTTTTAAATTCCACACCAGCCATCTTGTTTCCATCGTAAACTAGAGACAGAAAGTCTGAGACGTGTCCCGAATGTCAAGCGAAAGCGGAATCACAATCAGAGACGGAATCAGAGACGCGATGGCGAGTTTGGCGGGAGTCTCGGCGGTTGTGGCGGGAGAGCGGCAAGATGGCGCGCAGTGATTGGTGCTTGGTCGCCATGGCAACTGCAGATCTCTTGACACCTTAGTACGGCCGCTTGCCGCTGTATCTACCTAGCGCCACCTGCACGTCAGTGGTGTACCACAAGGTGGACGGATTGGAGCGTAACTTTCTTATTAAAATAGTTATATACTGCACATAGTTATGAATTGATACAAATTCTATCACATACCAATGTAACGTAAAATACACAATGAGAAGTAAAATATTTGTTTAATTAGTTGGGGTGGATAAAAAATTCTTTAAATTGATAAAATAGATTTTATTTAAAGTATGTGCATCTTGTCTAGTGGTTAGAGCTCGGGGCTTTTATACTTTCCTTTATTTTTCTTATCAACTAAATGCGTACGATTCATTCTATAAATTCCACATTTACCGTGCATCTTTCTTCATTTACTCCAGATGCAACATACAGGCTTTTCTTGTAGATCTTGTGTATCCGTCGTGATAGTGAGATTTAATCTATTGACGTACTTCCCTGATATGATTGTTGTAATTAAGACATAGTTTTAATCTGTATTCACATAGAGTACACTCCTTTTATAATTGCTAGAACACAGGCCTTCTACGATCGAAGCCATGGTTCACCTCTGTTTATCACCCGTTGTTCGAACCCTACTTGTTGTAGGTCCGTACTTACCTTGCTTAGTGCTTTGAGATCAACGAGGGATTGCAAAAATTCGTGTAAAATGCACACAAATACACGTATGTACAAATACACAGTTATAAAATTAAGACGATAATTTTCTAGACATTCATAAACCACCACTAACAACTAAGGAGCTTGTTGGTTCGACCCAAGTTCAAATTGTGATTGTGCTATCAACTCGGTTGGACAATTCCCTTTCAAAAACACTTTTTGAATTCCGATTGTTTTTAATGTTTTTAAAAATTCGACTAATCAGATTATGTTTGTCCCCAGGCGAAAAGCCCCACAAGTGTCAGGTTTGTGGCAAAGCGTTCAGCCAATCGTCCAACCTTATTACCCACAGTCGCAAACACACCGGGTTCAAACCTTTCGCTTGCGACTTGTGCGGCAGAGCCTTCCAGCGCAAAGTAGACCTTCGGCGGCACAAGGAGACTCAACATACAGAGATGAGGCCTTCGCTGGACCCTCCGCGGGCACCACTCAACCCCCAGGTTTGTTACTGCTATACTACGCTGTGTTTATATAGTCTGTACGATGGAACCTGTCTCCTGACCTGGGCCTAAAGCCATGGGCCAGACTCCAAGTAGACACGGAAGGTCAGGAGACAGGTTCCATCATACACACTATAATAATATTGTTTGTTAGTATATATAATGTTTTACGTATGTTAATCAAATACTAGCACTTTTTTATGATAATGTCAATAGAAGCATATCAAATTGTAATAGCGAGTACGCATATGTTTACGAAGGGCAGGACTTCCAATAAAGTCTTTTTAAGAAGAGGGCTTCCACTATTAAAATGTGCCCCGAGAAAAAATGTGATGTAAATGAGGTTAGGCTGTGTTATGTTATGTTAGGTTAGGTTGGGAAGGGACGGGCTCAATGAAAAATATGTCCACAAACATCAACTACAAGTAATGGGGGATGATTAATGTGAAGAAACACAGTTTATGTTAAGTATGATCTCTTTCCAAATGGAAGTAAAGCGATTTATTTCTTACTATCATATATGTACCTACATCTATTGATCATTTATATTATCATTATTTGCAAAGGGAAAACTTCAATATCAAGATTGTCAGTAGGAAATATTTCCTAGCAGTGATTTAGGCTGATTGCTAAGGGGTTTATACTACAATTGTCTTTGGATAGTGAACTAGATATCCTACCTATATTAACCAGCTAAAGCCATATTTTACTCAAAGACGATATCTACTTTTGTTACTGTAATGTTGTAAAATTATATTCGTATTTTCCTCCTGGATTGAAATGAGGTACGCATAGTATTTGATCCAATTGCAGAAAGCCAACCCACAATTAAGTACATAACTCCTGAACTATCAATAAATGTTTCTATCAAGATAATACATACCACGATTCATTTGATAGTTGGATCAGTCCCCACATTTTTTTATTTACTTCCCACCTAACCAAACTCGTAATGTTTGCAGGACTCTCAATGCCGTTACCTATCGGAATGTCCTCCAACATAGAACGAGGCACCACAGGGACCGTCCTGTCTGCGTCTACAGGGACCACAGGGACCGTCCAGTCTGCGTCCCTCCGACCATAGGTTCCTGTGAGCTCCCTGGGGGAGAATACTCTGGAACTGATCCCCAGAGATCGCTGTGCAAAATTGAATAGAACTAATAACGTACAAAGATATTCTACAGACATCAATGCAATTTGTGTCAATAATGCTTTTGGCGAAAAACTACTTAATTTAACCATTCCCATGGACAATAAGTTGGATCTTCACGTTTAGAAACGTTGACTATAAGAGTGTTGGCATCTATACCCATGACTAACATGTTTAACAGCTCTTGTGGTATGTGGTTGAATTTGATAGGCTCTAATAATGGGATTCAGTGACGTTCCGTGAACATTATGACCAAAGATAGATCTATAGATGAAATCTTTTAGTCTAAATTTCAAATGAATATCGTGTGTTAGTAAAAATATATATTTCAATTGAGAGTTCTAGTTTAGTTCCAAAAACTAAAATAGTTTTATATTTTTTAATCAGGTATTTTTACCAAAGATCAGTTTTATATTTTAAATGCCAAAGATATTATTTCTGGGTCCATGTAGACATTTTACAATAGAAATGATTCATTTGAGTTAAACCTTAAACATTGTTGTTAATCATAACTTAAATTACTTCTCTATATGTACAGTTAGGATATTGATATCAAACTATACCATCTCATGTACTGTGTACTACAACGTTATTATATTGATTATGTATATTTGTGTGTATAAGAAATTGTAACTCTGCCAAAGATCTATTAGGTGAATTAGTTTTGTAAAATAATTTATGTAGATAGCCTATAAATATATGTTTGAATATTGTTTCGGCTAATTTGTTATACATTTTTGTTATTCATGTTTAGAATGTGTATGATAAGGTCTAAGTTTAAAGAAATTTTGGCTTTTACGACTCAAAAATCTACCATAAAAGCTGGCTTATGCAGTTCTGTTAAAAGTACTCGTATGTTACTTTAAAAGAGTTATCAAATAACGCTCGGTCAAAAAGGTATTATTCGTTACTTGGGAGCAATCCAAATAGCTTTATTTAAACTTTAAATTTAGAATTTTTTTAAATTGTTTATCTTGGTTAGTATTTATTTATTTGTGGTTTTTTTGTTCACGGGTAAAGGCTGTGTGCTAGTGTGAAACAGTTAGTAGTGAAACAATGTGTTTGTTTAGATAATTAATAATCTTCCATGATTTTGTAATATTTATTTGATTTTTCAGTATAGCTGATTTAAAAAATTACTACGTTATAGCCTTAAATTATTGATTTAATTTATCAGTATGAATCATAAAAAACACCACTTCAAAAACACAACCAAAATTATTTATAACCACTACACTAAATTTCAACACCAACCATCCTTAAATTTATCACATTTTAAACATTACTTTATCCTAAATTACTAAAACTAAACACTCTCATTCAATGCGCCACATTCCCTCTCCACATTTCCAATGCAAATCCGGTAACCGATCCGAGCATCTTGATTAATAGACTCGGCGCCATCAATTAATAAGGTGTTTTAATCGCGCGTCGCCCAAGACGCCTTCGCTAATTCAATTTGGAGGGGATGCGCCGCGGCGCCTACTCAGACTCCATATTCGCCGGATCGCGTTTCACCAGCACTTTCGCTCGGCGCGCCTTCCGAATACTAATACAAACCAAAGTGGAGATTTACAAGGGTCGTCTTACATCTTACTTTTTTCGTTATCACTTTACCTTCGGATTTCCCCCTTCGAGTGATAAACTGTTAACTCCTGACTTAGAGATATATTGAGGCATCTTCGTATGATCAGGGATGGGATGGGTCGGTGGAGACTCGGGGGACTCAGAATCTGGGGCTTGGTTGATTTTTAATTTATTTCGGCAATGGGAGTGTTAAATTTTCATAAACACACTATAAAGTGAAAATCAAAGTCAGTAGCCTTTTGATGATTCGAATCCGGGCCCCGCTGACCTTGATCATTGGGTTTTTAATAAATGATTCTGACTAATGAAACAGCTGATCTTAGTCAGTAACAAAGCTACACAGATCCTCTCACACCATTCTACACTCATCCTTCACTCGTATTTGAGTTAAAATACGCACCTAGGTGGCGTCCCAATCTAAATTGGTAATCATACTAACATACACCTTTGCTTTAACCTAGAACTGAGAATTTTATTTTCCATTCAAAAACATAACCGCTAGAATATGCATCGTCTTAATCTTACCATCTAAACAATACATATACACTTTAAAATATTAAGCGATTAAACGCACTACGTTGTAAGAAAACGGTATAGCGATTAGGACACGAAATAAATTGTACAGTATTATATAAAGCATAGTTGTTTTAGATACTAAAAATAAATTTGTACATTTTATACGTTGTTGTATTTATTTGCAGTATGTGATAAATTTATTTTCGTGTGTATTTATCAGTTAATGAGAATTGTTTAAAAAAATACCAATCATTGTTTTTATATGTAGCTTTTGGTTTACCAACAAGATATAGTTGCTGTTAAAATAACCCTTTTTGAGACTTAGTTATGATTCGGATTTGTCAAACTATTAAAAAAGTTATTTATTGATGAATCAATCGTGTACGCTGTTTTCAAGCGTGTTTTTGAAGGTGTGGTATGAGAAAAGTTAAACTTTTATCGCTCTCTATGGTTTCATTAGTATAGTAATTTATTACCATTAGTTAATTTAAGTGTAAATAGTATTTAATTACTTAATTAACATTTAAGTGAGCACATCCTTGTACCCAGGTATTCATTGTTAATACACACGTATTTGATCCACCGCTACCATTATGTACATAACATATCATAATCAATGTACAAACGTATCTCCACTCTGGTCATTCCAATGTACAGTGTTCGTGTATTCGATGTACATTAATGTAAGTGTAACATGTAACGTAATGTAACACGATGTACAGTGTCTCTATGTAGATTGATGTACATTTAGCTCTCTTTGTAACATTCGCTGCCAACAAACCGCTATTGTTAATAAAACATTGTTTAACTCTATTGTGTTTTCATTTAATGTGAATCATATTTCAGCTGTTTATATTGAACGAAGGCGGAGTATAAGTTGATCCACGAACTTAGATACAGTAAGAAATTGTAAAATCTGCAGCCTATTCCATGGATGATCAATATGAAAGACAGTTTGTTTGATAAATGACAACAATTGTCATAATGTATACACATTTTGGTACTGTAGAAGAATAAATTTCATCCTATCGCTTTGATAAATTACGGTGAGTGTCTTTATCTCAGTATATAACATTAAAGGATCAGTAGTATTCAATACACACGAATATTAGAACATAAACGGTATGAATTACAAACATAAACAAATGACGTCATTGCCCGAATGTAAAACTTGCACCAATAGCAGTAACATATAGTTTGGACGGTTTTTTTACAGTTCCGTTTAAGTAATGTTGAATAATATGTACTTCAGTGACATCATGTGTTTGTGTTTATGACCCATACTCAAGCGAACTGGTCATAAACTTAAAACTAACAGCTAGCTGATAAAAAGGATAATACGGTCGTAAGTGGGATGTACAGAAGTTAAACAGTAAAACTGTTACAAATATGAGGACTGCTCGCCATTTGCAAATATAAACAGCAGTTGACAGGAATAAGTGTCCCATGGCCATAATGGACAGTAATTATTCATTTTCAGTTTTATATATTTTTTTTTACACTTTATACACTTTTAAACCGCAAGCACTGTTTTAAGTCAGCTTTTCTAATAAGGTTTGTAGTAAATTACGTTTCAATTTTGCATTAATATTTTATAAACAATTGGCTATAGTATATAACACAGATAAGTATATAGAATAAACACCATGTACCTATATCCAAACAATAGTTGATTAAGATCTCTATGCCTCTTATAAGTGAAAACGAAAGACTCATTATGAAACACTTTAGTCTCTGTAATTGCTCGTTATATCATTGATTATCACACTCGTTGAAAATAAATGTGCTTTCGTACAAACTCCTACTATGAAGGGAGAAAGGTGTAGAGATATCAAGATTTAATAAATATAGCGGAAAGCGAGGGAGAGAGTGGGAAAGAAGATGTATAATGTGGTAGTTAGAGCGGGATAGAACGGTAAGAAAGTGATTTCTCCACGCTTTACACCGTCATAACCAAACATCGAGCTCAGGATTTATAGAAATCTCTTTTACGTGTTCCAGAGTTTCATATAACACAGCTTCTCGGAGTAGTCTTACTTTTTAAACTACTACAGAAAGGATTCACAGTTCCAGAAATCATTTTACGTTATGTAGGCTATAACAAATTACTCTTTGCGTTAATGTGGCTAATTATTTAATCAAGCTTATATTTTAAACAAACTGTTTTTGTGCGTTTTAGCAATGCTTACAATGATATTAACCATTTGCATTAACTTATAATTATTAACTAATGCAGGTCTAGAAGTGCAAGCAAAACTAACACAGAGGAAAATTTTAAAAATCCACATGACAACCTTATTTTACAATAATTTGGTCCGGATTGTGTGCATAGGGGGATTTTCTTAGCCTAAGTTAGTGAAACGTACGACTTAAAAATATATTATTTTCAAGTGACTCTATAAAGTCTGCAATTGAACCATTATGTGCCACTACAAAATGGCCTATTACTCATAATGTTTCCAACCAAAACTATCCTCAAGACAAAATTAAAATCCACACCTCCACCTCAATAGTGATTTCTTCAGCCTCATATTACACAGAGATTACACTAATGAAGCTATCATGAGATTTGAATTATAAGATAGGAAATATAGAAATATAAAGGAATGGGCTAATCACTAAGTGTATGTGTATGTTATCCCCTATTTTTCTGTTGTTTTGACGTGAAATATACTATAGTTTCATTTGAATCAGCGCACTCTGCCGGTGGCCCAATTCGACTACATTTTATTTTAATTTAAACTGACCACAACTTATACATACTTAAAACGATTGTATTTATT